GGGGGCTGATCTTTTACTCAACATGGGGTCTCTGTCACAAGAGGCCCCAGCCAGCCCCCTAGGGCAGGTGGCTTGACCCTCCCCTCAGTCAGATCGTAACACCCAATCATTATTCAGCAGGGGTCCAGATGGGTTCTGCAGGTCCACCCCCAGGAAGTCCGGCAGACACACAGGCTGGACATGGGGCTTTGCCTCTGGCTTCCATGTCTTGGACCTCAGTAGCTAGAAATGCTGCTCTGGCTTTAACTGGTGCCACAGCTCTAGCAAGATTCTATCGGGCTGTCTATCAAGTTTTTCTTTCACTGCACCTGCCTTTACCAAGTCAACCCACATCTGGGTCCTTGAGACCTTCCTGGGGCCCTTTGAACCTCTTCTCTCAGTAGCAGGCTGTATCTCCTTCCATGCTCTTATTGTTTCAACCTTCCCCAGATCTTCTATAGTATGAGTAACCTCACTTATGGGTTGCCCTAAGTGGAGGACAAGAATAGTCAGTAGGGACCGAAAAAGGGACTAGGGAGCTGTATGGAGCATCAGATTTCTCATCCCCACAGTGAACAACTCCTCATCAGGGCCCATACTGTAGATGATATTTTTCATGTTCAACTCCCATAAAACCTGCAGGAGCTCTGCATACATTTGCCAACTCATGGGGAAGTGTGGTAAATTGCCCTGATTTGGCCGTAGCATGCAGAGGGCCACAGTCAGCCAATCAATAAGCACATGATTCCCTGGAGTCTGATGGGCATTTTGTAACCTCAGCCAGAGCGAGGGGTGAGTCATCAGGGAAGCCACTTTACCCATTTCTGACACAGACAAAACAATGCCATCTACTCCTGAATCCCAAAGACACAAAAGCCACGTGGGCAGAGGCTCTGAGGGCCTCTGCCAAAACTGGGGGCTCAAATCCATAGGAGCAGAGCATGGAGCACTCCACAACCTGGTGAGGGGGCTGCTACTCTCCTGAGGAACCTGTGGTTACTGTGTCTTTATTTTCTTAACTATAATCAGGCAGTCTTTCAATACAGGAGGGGCTGGTGCCTTAGGCAATGGCCTCAGGAACAGTTCCACCCTCGGCTTCACCCCCAACCTCCCCTGGCTCCTTCTCCCCTGATTTTCCCTCTACCATTTCCAGAGCTGAAAGCACAACTCCTTCCTTCACCTCCCCCCAGCCTCTGCAGCCTGCGTCTTCCTGCTGTTCCTTCTGCACCGCTAGCATGTCTCTGAGCAGTGCCATCTATTAAGCTTTCGTTAATCTTTCAGAGCATCCCACAACTTGTTCTCTTGTTTTGCCACTTGCTGCCAAAGTGCATCTCTCTCCTTGGTAACTCTTTCCAATGCTGTGAGAAACAGCCCCACATTTCCCACAGTGCCACAGGCACTCAGTTCCTGTAAGGAGCCCCCAATTTTGCAGAGGGCCAACTCCACTGTCTCTGGCATCCCCATCCTTCCCCAGTTCTGAGGAGGGGCCCACTCCTCTAGGAGGCACCTTACCCAAGACCAAATCCCCACTGAGAAGTCTCAGGGTGAATCCCCACCACCCATAGAGAGGTCCCAGGGGACCTCCCCACCACCCATAGGGGTGTTCAGGGTTATTTCACCACCATCTATAGGGATATCCCGTTGAAACATCATACCCATAAGAACAGATGTTGGGTTCACCAGATCCTGCCAACTCTCGCCAAAATGTAGCTCCAGAAGGAAGGGGGTTCCCCACCCAGGTAAAGTTTCCTATGAATAGGATGAAACTAAAGGAGGACAAGGGAAAGGGCAGGGTGGGTTAAAGGGTTTTATTTCTCACACCTCAGTCTCTCGCTCAGCTTCCCCTCAGCGCACTCCCAAGTCTTTCCTCTCTGGCCACCAACTGGCAAGCCCGCTGCATCCATCCCTCCAGTCCCAGCGCATGCTCGCTTTCCCCTCCTCACGCCTTCTGGGAGGAATTCCATGGGTGAGTCCTTGGTGACTGGTGAGCACCAGAAAAATTACATACCAGTAACACAAATGCGGTGCTGCAGTGGCCTGCTGATATACAAATAGAGCAGAAATTCTGGGAGCAAACTTCCATTTACTCCACTAATCTACAGGTAAAAGTCATTAGGATTGCAGCTAGAAATATGTACATTGACTACTGAAGGCAAAAATACCCATGAGAACTCTGAGGATCCTATAATTTGTACGAACTGATCATAGAAAGGCATACTTCTTTTGGATGTTGATGATTTAGGTGACAGCTCATGTTCTGATGACACAAATGTTAGTTATTCCAAGTCTGGACAAATTTGAAATGTATGAAATCATGATTCCTAATTGAATGACCACTTAGGAAGAAAATGTTCAGCTTAGATAAAATCTGCCTAAAAGTTATCAAAGAAAAGGGATGACAAACAAGCCGGAGCAATGGTTAGTCCAAGTCTAGTCTGTCATGTGACCTGCATAAAAAGGTGATGTTGTGATTGGCCTCCATGATGAGCCTTTACTTGACCCAGGGGGCAAAGAATAAACAAAATGAGACTTAATTGAATGATGACCAAAGCAAGCTTTTGAAATGCTATTTATAACTTTCTAAACAACTCATTTACTAGCCAATCAGAGACTGCCTTTGCAAATTATATCAAGGAAAGATGCTGTCAGGGAATTATGCC